CTTATCGGTTACAATACGCTGAACGTTACTATAACTCAGGTTCAACTCTGAGGCAATCTCACGCATGGTTACTCGTCGATCCCTTTGGATGATTTCTTCAACACGTGCCGTGTTGATATCTGTCTTTGAAGAACTTGGATGGCCGCTCGCTTCCATATTGCGGTTTTCCACATGCTCCCTGCCCGCTTGATAAGAACGACACCATTTCGCTACCTGCTGTCTACTCATTGCTTTGTCCTCGTATACCTCAACGATTTGTCAGTCAATTTCGGATGCGGCCACATTCTTGGCCCATAAGAATCGAATTAAGGCTCGCACCTCTATACGAGAGCACTTTTCTAGACGTCGTGTCATTACTGTCGCTCTTAAGTGTCTGCGTACTGATTATACTTACTCGTAGAACCGCTGTAGGACAACTAGCGCCATCTGTCAACCACCCTGGTTGGAAATATTCGCTCCACAATTATTACGTTTCAAACGCTTCTGCTTGTAAACTTTTTTCTGGATCAATCTACGTACATTGGAATTTACATTAAAAGAATATTACAGTCAAAAGTCCTTAATTCGGACACCCATAATCCAAACCTCAAAGCTACAAACTTTCTGCGCATGCATTGTGTTGATGCATGCGCATAGGCGTTTACGCATAGGCGTTTAAGCATACGCGTAAGACTTTTACGGCTGCGCACATGCGTGTGCGCATGCGAATAATACGTTTACGCATGCACGTTTAATATATAACGGACGGTATAATCTAAAATTATCTAATTATCTATTTCAGTTAATGTTGCTGATTGCGTTGTTCCTTAATCTTCAAATTGGATCCAGCTTATTATTTTTTGCAGACTGTTAGATCAATTTTATAAAAGTAAGCTTGAACTTTCGATTATGTCAAATAGAATTTTCGATGCCGGAGCTCCCAAAGGATTGTTATGAAATGTACATGCGCGGAAGATGGCTTCCCCGCAAAGCAGTTTTAGGGTTACCATAAAATGGCAAGAGAGTGCATGGTTGCCACATTTGGCAAGAAATCGCCCATTTGGTGATAAAATTGGCGACATACCATGGACAGTTGGAGAAACTTCTGGAACGAATCCTTACCGGTTTACCCCCACAATGTTCCCGAACACAAGCCGAAAGCTATATGGTCCGCAGGACAGCCCCTGCTGGTCCGCAGTCAGTGAGTGTGTCTCGTCTAGCGAGTCAATCCCTGAGGAGTCGATCGAGTTGACAGCCGGGCAGCGAGTGCCGAGTGGGTCGTCGAGTCCACCAAAGGAGTCTCTTAGTGTATCGCAGTTAGTGCATCATCGAGAGAGCATGTTGAGCTCCGGTAAAGACTGAATCAAAGAGTCAGGAGCTGTGCTCGTGTGTCGTCGAATGCATCGCGAGTTGTAGCGTGGAGAGTCTCGAGAGTACGTGGAGTTCTGAGAACGACCAAGCAGAGTCGGCTGTTTTGCAAGAAGCTGTCTCCACCGTGATAGCCTGATAACCGGTAAGGCTGTGTCGCTGATCATGTTTATAGTAGATCCTCGACGACTGTAAAACGTGTTTTGGAGCTGTCCTGACAATACTGGCAAATAAAGTGTGTTTCGATACTTCATAAAGTGTCGTCATAATTTACTCCAAATCTACACAAACCCCGTACGAACGTGAAGGAAGGAAATAATGCAACAACTGGTGTCAGAAGTAAAAAAAAAAAAAAAAGTAACAGGATCAAAAAAGCGAAAGTATGTTTCGATGTCTGTCAAACAAAAAGTGGAATTGCTGAAAAAAATGGATAAAGGCACCCATAATCCGGAATTTTGAAAAGAATTGCACCCATAATCCGGACCTCAAAGCTACAAACTTTCTGCGCATGCGCCGCGTCGAAGCATGCGCATAAGCGTTTATGCATGCGCGTAAGACTTTTACGTTTACACATGTGCGTTTAATATATAACGGACGGTATAAGCTAAAATTGTCTAATTATCTATTTCAGTTAAAGTTGCAGATTGTGTTGTTCCTTTAATCTTCAAATTGGATCTGGCTTATTAGCTTTTGCAGACTGTTAGAGCAATTTATAAAAGTAAGCTTGAACTTTCGATTATGTCAAATAGAATTTTCGATGCTGGAGCTCCCAAAGGATCTACAAAGCGAAAGTATGTTTTGATGTCCATCAAACAAAAAGTGGAATTGCTGCAAAAAATGGATAAAGGCATATCCTTTGTTCTAACCATTCCGAAATCTGTTTATCAATTTCACGCTGCTCTGCGGCGGGGAGGGAGGGGGCAACGCGACGGCGCGCAATGAATTGGAAGTTGATCTGTCAGCAGTAGCCTTATCTTCAGGGCAGACGTCTTTATTTTATTTGGCTTATAATTCCTTACTAAATGTAGTATTTCATCTCGATATACTCTGTCTTTGATATGATTTAAATCAAATTCCTCGTCATAATTCGCTTCCGATAGTGAAGAAAGTGACACAGAGGTTATTGAAAACGAAAAAATTTCGATTGACAAATTAGTCGGTATTCTTGACACAGCAATTATAGGACTTGAACAGCGGAACTTTGTAACTGAACAAGAAATTATGTCTGTTTTTAGAATTAAAGAGAAAGTATTACAGTCAAAAGTCGTTAATTCGGACACCCATAATCCGGACCTCAAAGCTACAAACTTTCTGCGCATGTGTCGCATCGAAGCATGTGCATAAGCGTTTATGCATGCGCGTAAGACTTTTACGTTTACACATGTGCGTTTAATGTATAACGGATGGTATAAGCTATACGAAAATTATTTAATTATCTATTTCAGTTAATGTTGCAGATTGTGTTGTTCCTTTAATCTTCAAATTGGATCTGGCTTATTATCTTTTGCGGGCTGTTAGAGCAATTTTATAAAAGTAAGCTTGAACTTTCGATTATGTCAAATAGAATTTCCGATACTGGAGCTCCCAAAGGATCTACAAAGCGAAAGTATGTTTTGATGTCCATCAAACAAAAAGTGGAATTGCTGCAAAAAATGGATAAAGGCATATCCTTTGTTCTTCTAACCATTCCGAAATCTGTTTATCAATTTCACGCTGCTCTGCGGCGGGGAAAGAGGGGGCAACGCGACGGCACGCAATGAATTGGAAGTTGATCTGTCAGCACTAGGCTTATCTTCAGGGCAGATGTCTTTATTTTATTTGGCTTATAATTCCTTACTAAATGTAGTATTTCATCTCGATGTACTCTGTTTTCGATATGATTTAAATCAAATTCCTCGTCATTATAATTCGCTTCCGATAGTGAAGAAAGTGACACAGAGGTTATTGAAAATGAAAAAATTTTGATTGACAAATTAGTCGGTATTCTCGACACAGCAATTATAGGACTTGAACAGCGGAACTTTGTTGTAACTGAACAATAAATTTTGTTTGTTTATAGAATTAAAGAGAAAGTATTAGCACATAAAATGAAGCAACTTAAACAACTTACATTGAAAGAAATGTTTAATAAAGTAAACAAATAAATATTAAGCTTTTTTTTTTTGTAAGTTTTGATACCCTTTAGATGGGAATTGTTCTTTATTTCATAAATTACGGTTTCATATTTTTAATTTTATAATTTCTGCATGCTATCTTACCAGATTTAAGCTGATGATCTATAATCCGGAATCGCCGAAGTCCCAACGAGTCCGGATTAACGACTTTTGACTGTATCACGTAAACGAAGCAACTTAAAGAACTTACATTGAAAGAAATGTTTAATAAAGTAAACAAATAAATATTAAGCTTTTTTTTTTGTAAATTTTGATACCCTTTAGATCATAATTGTTCTTTATTTCATAAATTATGATTTCATATTTTTAATTGTATAATTTCTGCATGCCATCTTACCAGATTTAAACTGATGATCTATAATCCGGAAAAATCGATAATCTGGAATCGCTGAAGTCCTGACGAGTCCGGATTATCGACTTTTGACTGTAGTTATAATTTTCTGTTGTAGTTGAGAAAGAACAACTTGTCTTTTGCTAGACATCATTATTAAAAGAAAGAGGAGAGAGGGAGACATTTTTCTAAAGGAGATTTCTAAAAATGTGAGACAATGCATTCATACTTAAATGAGCTCTAGTATAGTATTGGGTGCCCCTTCGATTAGCAACAAGTTTTGTTCAATTTTTGGTGATGAATAACTTTGTTTTAATCTTATATAATGTCATCATTCATCTGATTTTTTTAAAGTGAAAATAGATTGTGTGTATATGATGAGTCAAGGCAGTGTGCAATGCCAAGTTTGTGCAATTCTCTGATGTTTTTTTAAGTGAAAATAAATAGATGTGTACATACATGGACACAGAGTTTGTGCATTCTTCGATATTTCATTTTGGTTTTATGTAGCGGCCATCTTGAAGCTGTGCCTTGCTGGCAACAAATCTTGGTGTCAAAAAAAAAAGGGGGGGCGGCACCGAATTGTAAACTTTTACCCTTAAATGTAAGTATATCACTATATTTTTTCATTCTAAAAATTATTATATGTACAATAGCTGCATAATAAATAATTTATTTAAAAGATAACCATGAATGCATATTAAAAAAAATTCAATTATAATTTACTAATGCTGTAATCGTATTAGTGAATGCAAAAAGCAATTTTTCCTAGAAACCCATTCTTCAAGAAACAATTTGAAAAAAAGTTCTTTTTCAAAAATTTTTACACCAATAGAGAAAACTGCATTTGTTCTAGGTGAACTAATTATAAGAAAAGATCGTGGGACTTAACTACATAATTTAACTATGTAAAAGCACTGTTGCATTTGACAGGATATTACAGGAATCTATTGCCTGGTCTGACAAGAACTTAAGGTATGAAACAAGGCCTAAAAATGTGATAACAGTGAAGTTTTTATGATTTCTTTTATTTTAAATAGTTATTTTGTTATATTTTAAGGAATTTGAGTTCTCCAACGTAGCACCAGTGCATTTTTTTTTTCAGATAAACAAGTACATTACTTTTCAATAATAATAATAATTGTTACCTGTTTCTTTTCTGGCATCATTGCACCATCATAAACCATATCTTTAGTGAGTTTCACAGAATTAGTAGGCTTCAAGATTTTATCTGGAGAATCATCTTCACAAAAAATCACTTGCTGTGAACTGACATTTGTTGTTAATTCACTGCAATCTGCAATATGTTCATTATCAGAAATTCTATTTGCTTCAGTAGCAGATGCTTTATTTTCACTAAGCGTAACATCTGTATCTTTTAACAGTTCAGTACATTTGTAATTAGATGAATCACTGTTCCCTTCACACTTCTTTTCATTTAAAAGTATAAAATATTCTTTTAGCAATTTGTTAGTTTTTTCAAAATTATAAAGGCGACGTCTTAATAATTTCTGCAAGTCTTTACTTAAAAAGTTAGTAGTGAGTTTTCTATCTTTTGAGACTTCCCACAAATCTTCTATAACTACATTTTTACTTTCTTTTAAATGATCCGATGCAAAGCGGCAACAAAAGCTATATGGACATTTCCCAAAGGTTCTGTACAAATAACAATATGATCCTATATCTGGTGGCTTTTTTTCCAAGTATGTGCTCACATCATGACTATAACAACAATTGTTTCCATATGGACAAACACCATCAGCTGCCATTTTAAAACAAAGTTTTTCACATTTGGCAGTTTTCTCATTCCGTGGTCGATGTTTATTTTGTCCTTTTAACTTCCCTTTCAGTTTTTTTCTAGGTGGCTCATCTGATGTCTCATGCTCATGGGATACTTTCTGTTGATCTTTTGCAGAAACAAAGTCCAGATCAAGTTCTCGGACATGGTTCTTAAGAAGAAACCTAAATATAAAAAGAAAGCTATAAAAATAAAATAATATTATCAAATACTAACATTTTTATCAAGCAATATAATAATGAGTATATAAGGTTTTTAAATTAATTCGGTTATCTTATTATTTTGGTTACCAAGTTTAACAAATATTAATACTTTTTCTATAATGAGTATGTACACTTTTATTTTATTTAACTCGGTTTACTATAACTTCCAATTAAATCAGTTTCTACCAGAAAGCAAATTAATTACAGTATAAATAAGCTTAGAGTTCTTTAGTTTTCAGACAGCGTTTTGGCAGCATAGCTTGGCTCACGTTCTGTTTAAGTCCTCTTACTGCTGTAACTTAAATTCTGGTAATAAAAATAATTATCCATGATCCACTCTGCCACAGTCACTACAGGTGGAGTTCAATTCTGGTAAAACAGATGAAATAATAGAAGTGAAGGAACAATTTAACATAAGAAGTAATACATTAATTAAAATAAATCTTATAATTTGATGTCATGAAAAAATTATATTATGATTAATTATTTTATGCATGTATCTTTTATACTAACTTTTGTGATTAAGTTGGATACTTTTTGATTATGTGCACCCCCTTTCTGAAAAATTATGAAAAAGTATTCATAAGCAGTATGTCACCAAAACAGTTAAAAACAGTTATGTGGCATCCTATGATGTCACTAGAAAGCATTTATGTGGCAATCCAGATATGCATGTAGCACATGACTGTTTTGTCCAGTATGCAATGTCATGGAAAACGAATTTTTATCTGATGTTTTTTAAGTGACAACAGATTGCTGTGTACATGGGAAAAATGACAGTGCAAAAAAGATTACTGTTTTATTATCCATGTTTTTTGCTTTTTTAATTTTATTCATTAATTGCTCTTGTAGGTAGTGACTCTGCTTAGTGTCATAACATTTTGAAAAATTGCTGACCTTCATGCATTAACTCAATGAAAAATGAGTCAACGATATATTTGAGACTTTTCTGTGAGGGTACGAACCATCAAAGAGTACTTATTTTGTTGAAAATTAAAATACCTAAACTTTACACACATAGCTCCTTTCTCACACAAGAGTGGATCATATTATGCTGAAACTGTGTGTATATATATATATATATATATGTGTGTGTGTGTGTGTGTGTGTGTGTATACATTTTAACACAATTATTACAGATCTTTTCCTAAAATAAAATTGCAAGTACAGTGTAATTTAGGTTCACATCAAGTTTTAAACCCTCCAAGTGGCCAAAAGTTTCTCAAAAAAGTATAGGCAAAAGGTATTTTCTTGATGATAAATTCAGAATTTGTGAGTTGAAGTTTTCTTTCAATATCTATATCACATTAATATTTTAGGCACATTTCAGGATGCACGTGTGTAAACATTAAAACATCACAATTTGGCCATTTGGATTATCTTAGATAATGGTATACACATTACTTATTTTGCATAATAAAATCTTATCCTCTACTTCATAAATGTTTCTCAGCACCATAATGAGCAGAGCTGAAATGAATTTTTTATAAAAACAAAGGCTCTAGTGTAGAATTGGGTGCCCCTTTGATTAGCGACAAATTAAAAAAAAAAAATTTTGGCGATAAAACCTCATTTCTGGTTACCATGATAGCTTTAACTTTGTTTCAGCTTCCTGATTTTTTTTTTTTTTTTTTTTTTTATGAAAATAGATTGATGTGGACAAATTTAAGACAGTGTACAATGCCTAGTTTGTGCAATTCTGGGATTTTTTTAAAAGTGAAAACAGATTGATGTGTACATACATGGACACAGAGTTTGTGCAATTCTTTGACTTCTTATTTTGGTTTTGTGTAGCAGCCATCTTGAAATTGTGCCTTCCTGAGGATGATCTTGGCATCAAAAACGAATTGCCCAAAACAAGGGGCACCCAATTGTAAACTTTTACCGAAACAAATACAGAGAGCAGCTGTTGAAATAATTTTAGGCCTAGAAACGGTTAACCTTTTGGAAGATTAATGAGACTATAATGTGTATAATTATTAACTAATGATATGTTATAATTTAAGAAATATATACGTATGTTGAAATTATGATATTTTTTTTCCAACAAAAATTCTAATATTTGATTAAAGTAAAACTGATACTTTTTTTCCCAAATTCAAATTCTAAAAACTCGAAAGATTATTAGAATACAGTGTCTGCAGATCATAACTGGGAACATTATTATTATTGTTGTATTTTTGTGTTTGTTGACAATATTTTAAAATAAAATCATACAATTCTAGACGTATAGGATCTAATACCTTTCTTGCATTTATAATTAAACTAATAAGTTACCATTAAACTAATAAGGCCACATTAAAAGAAATCTTACAAAGTCTTCAATAAAGATGGCTACTGTCTTATTTCCTTAAGTATTGAGTGACATCACATTTTGACTGAGCAAAAAAGAAAACAGGTGATATGGTTTAGACAAGTTTTTTTATATTTTGAGACAATGTCTTATGTGGGTAATAGTAAAAAGCATTAATAAAGCCTTCGGTACTTGCCCCATGCATGAGGGCACATTCTCGATTCTCCCATTCTAGGGAATTTTGTTAAGACTGAAGACATGTTAATTCATAAAGAAGATAAGTGGATAGAATAGAAGAGAAACACGACAATTTGACAATCAAAATCGTAATAACAACCTTGTATTTAGCGTGCATATATTAAAACAATCGATTTCAAGGGCAGCTAAAAGTTCCTCCTCATCAGGAGAACGAAATTACTAGAAGGGGGAAAAAGAAGGGGTTGATCTTTGAATTATGGTAACTTGGCGATTTTTTGGCGAAAATTTGGCGACCAACTCTGCTACAGATACTCTATTTTTTTTTCGCCGCCATTTTGTCTTCACGAAGTAAAGACATGTTTCTTTTCTTTTTATTTACTGAACACTTTTTCCAACAATCTACTAGCCGAATTACACTTATGCTAGAAATTTTATGTAACAAAACTGCTTAATCATGACAAATATTAACTGCAAAATTGGGAAAAAGTGCACAATCGCAAACTCCTAGCGCGTTTTTCACAATAGCACATACACATAAACCATTTACACGTCGACTTATTTTTACTTTAAAAAACATCCCAGAATTGCACAAAAATGGCATTGCACACACTCTTAACTTTATCCATCTACACTGCTATTTTCTCATAAATTACAAAAATTTGCACGAAAATGCAAAAAAATTCTGTGAATCTTTAAACTTGGTAAAAAGCACATACATGAAATTACCTGATTGCGAAAAAGTATATACCCTTTCCAAGGATGAACATTTCCATGTATAAAATAAATAAAATATCCAAAAACTTTTACCTCTAAATTATCTATTATATTATAAACGTCACCAACGAATTCATACTGCAAACATTACAAGTGGTTACAAATACTTAATGTCAAATATTTAAATTATTTCCATACACGTTTACTTCAACTGAAACGTATACCAAATTTTTACAAACATAAAATTCACAAAATAACTATCATTTACCGTAATTTCGCGCGTATAGTCCGCGGACTATCTGTGTTTAAAATGCGAATTTTTGAAGCTGCGGACTATCCACCAGTGCGGATAATACGCTGGTTGTTCACGGTTAAAATCGTTGAAATTTAAAAAACACGCTGTCGTGAACTGCCGATGATAAATATATTGTAAAGCGCGAGATTGGCGGGAAAAGCATTCGCCATGTATCGTATCGATAGTAAACCATAGAGCATAGTGCAGAATCGAATAAGCAGTAGCAAGTAGAGCTCCCTAAAATCCAGGCTGGCGCATCAAGCGATGCCGAGATATGAGCCAAAGAAAGTCTTGTATGAGCACTCCAGTAGCGCAACCAGAGTCTTGTATCCCAGTATCCTTCGCACTGCTTTAATACAACTGACTGCCCGAGAGGGGGAAAAGTAATTGATGCGTCAACTCGGATTTTTAGGGAGCCTTAGTAGCAAGTACCTGGAGTACGAAAAAAAAAAAAAGCGTGATTTCGTTTACTTATAGCGTGGTTTGGCAACACCGAGTGAGTGGGGTCGAAGGTCACAGATTTCATTACCATTTATCACGAGGTATAGCACGTTGCACAGTATTCTTGTTTTCGTATTTTGTCTTTCATCTTGGATAAACGTTGATGAAACATCGCCGGAGTTTTACTGCTGAGTTTAAACTTCAAGGTAGTTGAGAAAGCTGAAAAAGATGGAAATAGAGAAGCGGGCCGTTATCGGTTTAATCCTAGTATTCGGTGCACACGGGATTTGGCTACTTTTGGCGACTTTATGATGAGCAGTGAAAACGGGAGATATACGATGAGTAGTTAACGGGTCATTCAAAGAAAATATATAGTTAAACATAGTATATAGTATATATATATTATGTGTATATATACATATACTATGTGTGTATACTATATATATATAGACGTCTTTGGATCATTTTTGGTGTTGGCGATAATTTTCAAAGTCGCGCCAAGGCTGCATCGTATACTAGGATTTTACACTGTTATTTTGAAGTGGACGAGAAAGCAGTGAGAAATTGGCGCAAACAAAAGGATGTGTTTAAAAAGCATGGGAATATTGCCGTATTAAAAAAACGTAATTTCGGACGTATAGTCCGCGGACTATCCGGTGGTGCGGACTATCTGACGATTTTTGAAATTTTTTTTATATAAAATCGTGTCTGCGGACTATACGATGGTGCGGACTATACGTGCGAAATTACGGTAATTAAAATATCACTAAACCATGTACATGTCGACTTATTTTTACTTAAAAAAACATCCCAGAATTGCACAAAAATGGCATTGCGCACACTCTTCACTATATCCATGTACACTGTTTCACGAAAATGCATGAAAATACTCAACGTATTCTACTCAAACGTATTCCAAAATACTACAAACATATAACTCACAAAATCACGATCATTAAATTAAAATATAATTAAATTAAAAACACTACTTAAAATATAAATACATTAAATTAATAAAAATTAGATTACAATCCTAATTACTTTAAACTAAATCATTGCTAATAACAATTTTCCAATAATATCATAGTAATTTATTTACTCCTTACATTTAGAACAATGCAAAATAATATCCTCAAATGATTAAAAATACTAACTTACTAATCTTCAGAATCTTCATTACATGGCACGCACACTTCCACTATTTCACACAACACACAATGAAGCTTAATACAAAATAATATAGTACTACAGTTTTCCAAATTCCCCCCTTTTCCGATTAAAGAACTGTAATTCGTCCATTAATGTCACATGACATATCTCATGATCTCTCATTTCCCTCACACAAATTAATGCGTAATCGGAACTGAGTACTTCTCACATTATTACCAAAGTCCTAGGTAGTAACCTTTATCGCCTCCAAAATGTCGCCAAACTACCAGTTACCATATTCCAAAGATCAGCCAAAGAAGGAAAAGCATCGGCAAAGGAGTCGCAGAAACAGTGTGTTCATAACCGGATTTTGAATCAGAGTTGTACTGGCCACCTACTTTTACTGAGCCAGACTATCTGATCAAACAATTAACACATAGATTAAAATGCAAAGAAAACCAGTGAAGTCAAAAAATAGGAAGCAAGGGGCAACTGCACCTTCACACACCAAGTCTGAACCTCGAAATCGATCGAGTGTTTTAATATATGTATGCTAAATACGAGGTTCTTATTGCGATTTTGATTGTCACATTGACATGCTTCTCTTCTATTCTATCCTACAATGATTTGTGTGGTATCTAAAACACTTAGGGAACCAGATTAGGAGAAAATAAGGAATATCGAACTTCAAGTTAGTTTAAGTCGACATGTTGCTATGCTATGCTTATGATAAAGGTTACTAGCTAGGACTTTAGCAGTGTACATGGATAAAGTCAAGAGTGTGTGCAATGCCATTTTTGTGCAATTCTGAGATGTTTTTTTAAGTGAAAATAGGTCGACGTGTACATGGATGCAATTGTTAGAAACGCGGCAAGCAGTTTGCGATGCTGCACTTTCTCCCAATTTCGCACCTAATCTTCATCATGATTAAGCACTTTTGTTCCATAAAAGTTCTAGCATAAGCGTAATTCGGCTAGCAGATTGTTGGAAAAAAATGTAAGAAAAATGTAAGAAAATAAGGAAAAAAAAAAAAAAATTCCTTTACTTCGTGAAAACAAAATGGCGTCCAACACAAAAACTAGCAGTTTGCTGTAGCAGAGTTAGTCGCCAAATTTTCGCCAAAAAATCGCCAAGTTACCATAATCCAAAGATTAAACATTACATTAATTCTCTTTTCCCTCTAAATTATCCATTATAAAAGTTCCCACAAAATAATCTGTGACTGGAACTGTGTACTTCTCAGATTATTGCTAAAGTCCTAGCTAGTAACCTTTATCGCCTTACCAAAATGTCGCCAAACTACCTGTTACCATATTCCAAAGATTAGCCTAAAAAGCATTACAAGCTTTTGCATGCACCTATTTTGAGAAACATAAAGTGAAGAATTTTAATAGTTCTCTTGTAAGTTTTGACATTTAATTTAGAAAGACATAGTTGTAACCTATTTCAATACTATAAAGACTGAATTTTATTATTGTATCTCACTTCATTTTAATATTGATTATTAGAAGCAATGTGGGCATTCTTCTGTTATTGGAACCGGATTCATAAATGTATGCAGGGGATGTTTCCATAACTATTGTTGATGCTAATGCTGCCAAAAATAATTGCGGCAACCCTAACAATTGCGGCAAGAAAGGAAGTATAATAGTAAATAACTATCTAAGATTGATGTTTTAATTTAGATGAAAGGTTAATTTCATATAATACTTTTTATTATTATAATTTATATGAAAAAGGCTAAACATGACTGAATGAAAGCATAAGAGTAATAACTATTTCAGATCATTATTATAATTTATATAAAAATTGCTAAACCTAATTGAACGGATGCCTGCATCGCTACTTCGCTACCGACTTATCGCTAAAGCATGATTTCATCTCGTTGGTTGTTCAAACGTAATTTTCTATAATGAATGATGCCTTTTCTTTGAAAATATTCTCCGTAAAGTGCAGAATCGCTCACTTATTTGTTTGCCGCTTTTTACAAGGGTAAAAACAATTGGATTTTTGTCAATTTTCTTTTACTTTTTAAGTGAAAATAGGTCGATGTGTACATAGATAAAGTTAAGAGTGTGCGCAGTGCCATTTTTGTGCAATTCTAGGATTTTTTTTAAGTGAAAATAGGTCGATGTGCACATGGATACAGAGTATGTGCAATTCATAAAAACGCTTTAAACAGTGGGGGATTCTTCACTTTACCCAAAATTCTATTGCCGAGTTTTCGTCGTTGGCAATTCCCAAATTGTTAAATCCATAGGCTATCAAAAAAGGATTTAAAAATTAATTACTAGTATTTCAATGGCATCTTAAGAAATATAGGACTACATAAACTTACGCAATCTGAAATCAGCGCGTACGCTAGATTTGGCGCGCTGTTAAATGGGCGCGTTTGTTAGATTTGGCGCTTTTGCGCGCACATTTTCGCTGCAATTTTTTTACGGCCCTCGAAACCGAATAGTACCGAAAATAAAGTTTGAAAGTCGCAAATCATTATTAGTTCATATTTTCGCAAAACGTTTATGGGGTTTATTTTTCGAACATTACGGTAAAAGAAAATAAAGTTTTTTATATTTTCGCAAAACGTTTATGGGGTTTTGGGAGTTAAAAAATGAAGCAAATTATTATTATTAACATAACAAAAAGTTCCTTTTTTAAGTATTATATATGTTATAAATATTGCTATTGCCATGAAGACAAACTGGGCAAAGTTAAAATGAAACCAACAACAACAGCATTTAATTTATTATAGCTTTTTTCTTACTTTTACTAGAATTCTAATAATAAAATGATTAGTGCATTTAAATACATATTAAATGAAAATATTAAAATAGATATGGAGATGCATTAAATATGATTTGGACTAATTTAATTATGTATTCTTACATATATAGCTATGCCCATTTAATTTTTCTCAATAAAAATAATTAAGCTATCCTTATTATTTTTATATGTCTATACATTTTTTAACTCTGCACATAGCTACTCAGAAAGAAAGATATATGGGTAGGATATAAGAAGATAAAAATTATTAATCTTCCCTTCAAAGTCAAATGGATATAGCTGTAGTATATGATTTCAAACAAAAGTAAATCATTAGAATATTAAGCTGAAAATATAAGTCTGAAGGAAAGAGATTTTTCTTAAATTCAAAGTGTGCACAAAACATTTCAGATGCATTCAAACTCTGAACTGGAACATGCTAATTTACTGTTGTGGAACTAATATGAAAATAATATTGTTGACAGTATAGTAGTGTACCACCAAAGAATTTATGCTGGGAGAAGAAGCAAAGCTTCGATGACATCACAAAGCCAAATGATAACTGGCTTAATTTTTACTCTTTTTATGCATAAAATGTCATAGTTGTTAGTATCTCATTAAAATGTATTTTCTAATAATATAATGATTTGCAAATGATGGAAATTTACCTGTCATTAAAACATTTTGTTCTAAACATGCTTCAGCTTATCAAAGAAGTTAAAGCTATTCCAACCTACTCCCCATATTAAAGTTTTTTTGATTAAATCAAATTCATGTCTAATGCATCAAAAATATAAATAAACCTTCTTTAGTATTTGTCAAACATCAGTTCTCATGGCCTTAAATTGGATGCAAGATTTATTTCACAAAAGTTATGTTTTCACTTATGGGGCAAAACTTTTAAATTTGTTATTTGAATCTGTTACATTAGTCTTTATTTTAAAAAATATATTGTATGTCATATGGCCATGAAGGCAACCTGAAATCTAAAGTAGAAATGAAATCAAATTTTCTAATTAATGTGATTTGAAGCCATTGTGTTATACTTCGAGGAATATGTTATATGGTAAATATGTGTGCTCATGTTTTTCCTGGAAAGGGCATAACATTTTTTTTACAGAAATAAGTTACCAACCTAAATCTATTGTCATGGCAATTAAATTTTTCTGAAAGAGCAGGATTATTTATAAGCCAAGTGCTAAACCTTTGTATTGTTACCCTGATCATGAAATTTTAAATGGTGATTTAATTTCTTTTTTCAGGTTGAACTGCCCTTCAATGAAAGCTTTTGCTCGATGTGTGGCCTGTAATAGCAATAAATGGGACTTTTGTGAACTGAAATCTGTTAGGCTTTCCAAAATCCAGAAAGGTAAAGTTTAACTTTTATTTAAGCCTAATGTTCTTAAAATATATTAGAATATCCATAGGTGACATTTGATTATTGTTTAATAAAGACACCATAACAAAATGAGCTGATTGAATCACTAAATTTTGTAACTTGTAACTTTTAAATATATCCAGACTGTCTGCTTTAATAAGGAAGTAACATACAGTGCATATATAGTAGTGTTTTTGATTTTCATTTATCATTTTATTCTGTTTTTAAGTATGAGTTCAGCAATGCTCCAACATAAGGTATTCCAATTTATATGAGCTTTAAGTCGTACAGCTCCTTATTTTATTTTGCATATTTATACTTGTTGTTTTGAAATTGTCAATAATTCATAGAATGCTGATGAGCAAAACATTACTATGCCTATATATAAGAATTAGCTTTAATGAAATAAGAAGCATCAAAGTATATGCTAATTGCCCTAAAACTCCATACCCTTCTTCAAAACAGTACTTCAGTTATAACTGTGTTAACAAACGATGCAGTTGTTCAACATTTTTATACACTGTGCTGTTACTTTCATACTTTGGTTCAGGAAAGTAAATGGGATTTGATATTCTATATTTCTTCTTTTTTCCCCACATTATAATTATGAATCGAGTTATCAGAAAAGAATAATTAATTTTATAAAACCATTAGCATCAGAATAACTCCATTTCTTGCACATGTACTTTTTGTTTCCAATGGTGGATGCTTGCCTATGCCGGCATTAGCCACTCCTAAAATCAGATATGATGATCTATTATGGAGGCACCTAATAGGCAAGCCACCTTTGCCTTCTATGAAGGGACAGATAATTTACATCCATGCCTTGTTCATTATTTGAACCCGGGTCCCTCAGTATTGTACTCAGGCTTCCCTAATCACTATACCATCCGGGCAGTTACGACTTTATTTTAATATGCTATTTTGTATTGATATGTAATATGAAAAATACATTTTTATTATGTATTTTTTAAAACAAGTGCTTTTTAGTCATTGGTTCTATTTAACTAGAATTCACATGTATTGTTTTATATGCAAAATAAATACGACCCAGACTGATTGGAATCTGATTTCAGAGCTTTCGCTCGTTGCATCTGTCACATAGCTTCAGAGCTATAACTGTTTATATTTAATTTTTAGTACTTAAATATTAATTTGTTAAAGTTAAAAAGTAATAAAGCTGAAGAATGTCAATGTGATATATTTCTTAACAATAATTTGCAGTAGTCCCTCTTTAAAAATGGTTTGATTATCTGCAGACAATAAAAATTGAGAAAGTTATGAAAATTAGATTATTTTTGTTGAATTCAAATTGGCCAAATGATAAAGATATACTTGCATATAAATCACTTCTGCATATGATTGAAGCTTTACAATATGTGCTTGTTAACTTCAGTTGTCTATAGTATTATTATTATGACAGTTTAACACTTGATATTTGCAGCACATTACCTCAGATTAGAACTATAGGATAAAATGTAGTTGAAAACTTTGGGAGGTTATAAATGAAATAAACGCAGAAGAAATTAACTCAAGCCATTACTATTGTGAATGAATAACAGAGCAGTTAGAAAATTTATTATAATTCAGAATTAATGTTTAGTACTGGCAAAGAGAAAGTGAATAGTGTATTAAGTCAGATAGTTTTTCACAATAGAAATATTAACTTAAATAAAAAGAACAAAACTATAAATTTTCCCTCATTATTATTAATATTTTTATTATGTTTCATTATTAGACATGTTTATTACTTGTGTATCCTGCCAAATAGACTGGCTGCATGGAAGTTTTCATAATTTTCTCTATGTGTGACATGAATTTATGCATCCAAAATGCTAACCTTTGTATGCAACACTCACTCATTTCTAATGCTTTAAAGTCCCAATACTCGTTTAATTTAGCATTTGCAGTATCAGTGTTGTTACACCATGAGTATTACTAATATTTTAATTCAGTGCTGCTTTTTAATTACTTTCACGTTTATTTTATTCAATAAATAAATTAACTAAATATAAAAATTTATTGTGAATCAATTTTGTAATTATTTATGTTTATAATTTTTATCCCTTCCAGCTGATTAGGTGTGCAGAACAGCAGACTTGTAAATGTGAAGGAGCTATTTGCTTAGTTATGCAGTAGAATTCACCACCCTGCGGCAAGCTTCATTAAAGCTGTGAACAGCCAAGCTAACCATCTTCAGGGCAAGTGGCTGCATCAAGCAAACCCAGTGACATTCCAAAGAGGAATGTCAGTCAAAATAAAAACTTAATACCTAAATCTCGGAAAATCAGACAATTAAGCCACAAATCTTGTGACCAATTTTTTCAGTTGCTGTGCTTAGTGCGATAAAGTTATATGGCAATAAACTGAAAAGCTATGGCAGGTATTCTATTGTACCCTTTAATGAAATCAATTTAAAGCAAGCTTATCATA